CAGTCGTTAATTCTTTCTGGTCATTTGATCTTCAGTATGGAACGAAGACAGCTACAGATGGAAGTCTTCAGTAGGCTGTTGGAAATCCTTTTCGTGACACACAGTGCAAGTTTCTAACTCATACAGAAGGACAGACTTTACATTAGTGTTGATAATTCGAATCTTGTTCCTTATGCGGAGTGCGGAAGATTTCCATACTGGTTTCATGTTGATGAAGGCATATCTTGCCTTTCCGATTCAGGCTGACTTTGACATCTTCATCCGTGTCATCCACCTGCAGTTGAAACGATGCTTCTTAGCCAGATAAGTGAAGGACATAACCTCTGTTAAATCTCTCCCGATAATGGTGAAAGGTGCTGGTTGTTGTTGTTGGTGGTGGTGCGTGAGTATCGTCAACACCTCCGTCTTCTCTGTGTTCACCTGGATTCCTGTCTTAACTGACTGTCTCTTCAGCCAGTTTGTTGGTTTTCGCTCGCAAGTCGTCAAGTTTGTGTGACATGCGACATATATCATCTGCGAAATCCAGATATTCTAAAGTTTTTTATTGGTCCACAATATTCTTATGATTTCGCTCACCACGCACAGTCTAACGCGTAATCCAGTCCACGAAAACCAGGAGTATCATCAGTGGTATCAGGCAGCTCTGTTTTACTCCTGTATTCACTTCAGAGGCATAGCTGAGTTTTCCGTTATGGATTGTCTAAAATATGTCACTGTCATATAGCCAGCAGTTGAATGAGGTTCATTAGGAATTGAAGCACGCCATAGTATTGAGGTAGTTTTCAAATTACGTCAACTCTGTCTTTTAAAGGCTTTTTCGAAGTCAATAAAGTTGAGGTAGAGTGAGGTTTGACTGATATTCTATTCTTTGTTCTATGATGACGATGCGAAGAATTGCAATTTGATTGGCACATGATTTGCCCTCTCTAAATCCAGCTTGTTCCGGCTAGCTGGCGGAGTTTTGTATCCGGTGCATCTTTTATTTTTTCCAGGATGATGTGACTTAGTATTTTGCTTGGTATGGACCAGAGCCTTATTCCATGGTTTACTAACTGAAGTTGGTTAAAACAAAACCAGACAGAATGAGGGGTTCCAAGTGCTGTCTTATCTATTCACGTTATCATTGTAGTTACATGTAATTGTGGTAACTAAGAAAAATTATACAATGACTGTTAAACGCACGATGACTGCATACGAAGAAGTCATGTTCCAAGGTCGTACAAGCGTGCTTATGTTTACAATGACGTCTATAGCAGTCTGTGCATCGGCATTTCATTGGTTATAGTGAATCTTGTGACGAAGGTTATGAAAGGCATCCACTTATAGTGCTGAGCTACCTGATTGGTCAGCTCAAGGTCATTTGACTATGGTGCATAATTTTTACTGTAACCCACAACCGCTACTGAGTCTTCATGCCTGTAGCCCTATGTTGACAATCGCAACGCAAAGTAGTGGTAAAAGTATGGCAGTTTATTATTGAGTAATCCGGGTGTGTTTGACACAACTGATAGAGTTACTCAGAAATAATCTCAGTCATCACATTGTATCAGATCCACTTAGTTTAGTAAGTGATGTCAATGTATCCTGGATGATAATTATATCTTTGGATATTAACTCTGTCTTCAAAAGCATCACTGAGAAAACACTGTCATGTAGATGTATGTACAAGCAGCGGAGAATTCTCAAGTAAAGTGAAGGACAAATCTTTACTTCCACACCTTGTTAGCATGTGATACCTTCTTGTACAACAAGAAACAACAAGAACAAACTTTAAACATCTAGCTATAAACACTAATTCTGCAGTGTCAATGGCTCAGAGATAGGATGTTCAATAACCATGAATGCGGTTCAGGTTTCGATTCCCTGCCGCCGCACATCTCTACTCCCCTAGCAGGTTGCAGTCTGGATAAAGACAGAAGGTTAGGCGTGAGGCTAGCAACCTCACCTCGTAAAAAATACCACTGCTACTGAAACTTTAACGCTTATGCTTTGTGTCTTTCGTCTCTCTGCAGGGACGCATTCGTAACTAAGTAAATTTGGTATACTCAAGTGTTGGTTTGTATGGATTTGATTGGTTGCAGGATTTTCATCATGAGCTGACACACGTTAGAGAACCATTGGAAAATTTGGTTTACCATATCGCCAGTGCTTTATTTACACATCATTTTAAAATTGGTCGAATATCACCACATTGGGTAGCTTGATGGAGTTTGCGCAGTGTTTTTAAAGTTCTTCTCACAGTTTTCTTCTTCGATTGCTTTTTTTCAGTGTCGGAAACATATTGTTGCTTTTCTGAACTCGTTTACTGATATACTACTTACATCTGATTATAAGCAGCACTCTCAACAGTGCTTCCAATGAAACTGAGACCCAGTACTCTTCCTATCAAACACCAAAGTGTTATCCAGTAGACCACCATTTATTATTATTATATTATTATTGTATTCTTTAATTCCTACAGGAACAGAGGGCTTCAGCCGTGCGTCTCCATTGCGTTCTGTTCTCTGCTAGAGTCTTCATTTGGCTCCATGTCTGCCCACACGTTTCCATCTCCTATTCACATGACCCCCTTTAAGTCACCCTCACACTGACGACCAACTCGCCACTTCCCTTTCGGGTTCCACTCGAGCAATGGCTTGTCTAGTGATGTCACTTGATGGTTTCCCCAGAGTGTGGTCAATCCATCTCCATTTCTTCCTACCTATTTGTTTCACAATCGGTTCCTGGTTGGTTCGCTCCCAGAGATCTCTGTTGCTGATCTTTTCTGGCCAGCCATCTGATCTTGAATATTGAGCGAAGACAGCTGTTAATGAAGGTTTGTAGTTTGTTTGAGATGCTCTTTATGACGCGCAGTGCAAGTGTCTGATCCATATAGTAAGTAGCACTGACTTCACATTGGAGTTGAAAATCCGGACCTTATTTTTCATGCTGAGTGCTGTTGACCTCCACACAGACTTGAGAGTAGTGAAAGCTTGTCTTGCTTTTCGATTCTTGCTTTGATATCCTCGTCACTTCTGTCCGCCTGTAGTTGAAACGATGCTTCCCAGTTAGGTAGGTAAAAGAGGTTGTTTCTTTCAGGTTCCTCCCATTTATGCTGATCGCTGACTGTTGTTGTTGCTGCTGCTGGTGGTGTTGCCCAGGAATTTTCATCACTTCTGTTTTCTCTATGTTCGCCTGAAGTTCTGTCTTTGATGCTTCTTCTGCCAACTTGTTGCTTTTCGCTTGCATATCTTCCAGTTTGTGGGAAATCGGACATATATCATCGGCGAAGTCCACATCCTCCAAGTTTTTTGTGTGAGCCCATTTTATGCCTGTTTTCTCATTGCCCACTGTTTGTCGCATTATCCAGTCTACTGCAATCAGGAAAATCATTGGCGATAATAGGCAGCCTTTTCCTACTCCTGTCCTCACTTCGAAGGATTCCGTAAGTTTCCCGTTGTGGACCACCATTTAACAAGCATATGTTATTATCTCTTTACGTCAATTTTGATTTTCCAGTGGTCCAAGTGGTCTCACGAAGTTAGTAAGGAAGTGGGCTGGGTTAGACTCTCAATGGGGGGAGTGTGGCGTATGCTGCTGATAAGATTTATCAGTGATATACAAACAGACGTTCATCAGAATAAAAATATCAAATTGGAGGGAAATAGATTTGACGTCAGAGAAAGCAAATGATTCAGAGTCTCGGAGAAACATGGGAGACGTGAAAGCAACACAATGTAACACAATATGAATGCAAGCCAGATGCAGCGCGACATAGGACATTTGTACGAATTATGATTTTCAGATAAAGTGTATATAATTTCATTATATGGAGATACTAAATTCAAAATAAACATTCCTTTAGCGAGTTTCTTGTCTTCTACCGTTACAGAAAGATCATCGCTCTGTGGGGATTGCAGACAAATACGGCTGACGAGTTCCAAATAGGACGAAATGCGAATCTCGGATTTCATTGCTAATCATCAGCCACATATATGGAAATTATGTATACCATATATGAAATCCGTCATTTTCACAGATCTTCTATGTTGTACTACTTCCGTCCTTCTCATTGTCTTTTCTTTGTCTTATTTTTGTGTCTCCTATGTTTCTCCGCAGTACTGGTTCATTCTCCTCTCTTTGACACCAAAGTTTATCTCTCCACTATTTGATATTTTTGTGCCAACGAGCCTCTCTTAATATACTACTGATAAATCCTGTCAGTTAGAGAACAATTGAAAACCAGCATTGGATTACTGGACAGCTATTTCATTCTAGTTTGTGAATCATCGGCAGTACGCACCCACTTCCAGGGATAGAACCCAGGACCTTCCGGTTACAAGGCCACCTCGTATACCACTCAGCCATTGGGACCTGATTCAATGGCCAGTGCATGAATTCTAACTTCTACCAATTCATGGTGCATTTAGCGCAACCACCAACCAATGTCATCGGTGGGACGATAATCCTCACACTTGACTGGATGGACCTCACCGGTCACGACTTCCGATTAGAACTCCAAGAAACTCTATCCTGTAGGATGTCCCTAGTGAGCATCAGATTAATTTTCAAGAGTTGGATTCCCCTTAGTCTACAAGCCTGCCTCGTAACCTGAAGGTCCTGAACTCTAATCCTCTCAGTGGGTGCATACTGCCGACGATTCCCAAACTAGAATGAAACAGCTGTCCAGTACTCCCTTAGCTGGTTTTTAAATGGTTCTCTAACTGATATCAATCCATCGTTAAACTCGTATGCACAAATCTAATCCTTACAAATCAAACTCTTGAAAATCCTGTCAGTATAAAACACACGGTGAAAGCAATACATTTTCTTTGGGAAAAAATAAAACTGTACATAAAATTATCTTATCTTTCCATAGGGATAATATTATCTCTATTTTGACTTTCATTGGTGCATTAACTCTATGCCAATAGGCAGTTAGGTTATCGCCCAATTTTTTTTACTTTTATTTTCAGACTATTTAGAAGGGCGTAATGCAGCTGACTAACTAAATAACAAAATAACAGACGAATATTCGGTGATATTAGTATAATATTCAATACAAATATAAATCTCGTTTTAAATTATATTAAGTATGTCAGGACATGGAAGGAAACCGGTTAAACTGCCGTCATTTGTCAGTTCGCATGAAGAATTAGAAAAAATGTTTGCCTCTTGTCCATTTATGTCTGTACTGTTATCACAACCGAATATGAAGGATAAAAAATCGGTGAAACAAGTAAAGAAAGAGTCAAAAGATGAGGAAATTGCGGAACAGCCAAATGATAAAGACACTACAGTGGTTGAATGCAATGATAGTTCTACCGGGAAAGAAATTTCTGCTAAGTCTGATGAAACAACCGAGGAAGTAAAAGAAACTAAAGGTTAGTTGATGTTCAGTTTCACTATACATCTCAAGAAGTAGTGCATTTTGCGGTTTCGTATTCTATTTTATTCTATTCCAGTTTTAATCGAATTATTAATGTCATGTAGGATCCTGAGTAGGTCGTATTCCTGTCGAAATGGAAGTTTCCTCTTTGAAAGTCTATACTTAGATAAGATAATGCATGACAACAGTGAAGCATTATCTAGTAGATGGTAACTAGCATAGGAATTTCATATACATTTAGAAAAGTGAGTCCCAAATAGGAAGAAGTGCATCAGCCTGGATTCCATAGCTAGCCACCATCCACCAAAGTATTATTATTATTATTCCCTTGCGTTCCAAGTGGAATCTAGGGCTTCAGTTACACATCTCCACTTTGTCCTATCTTCTACCATCCCCTCCAGCTAAGTCCACGATTGACCAAACTCTGTCATCTCTTCATCACACGGTCTCTTCGATGTCACCCTCGCACCGACGAACCACTCGTCGCTTCCCACCCGGATTCCACTCGAGCAACGGCCTGGCATGCGATGTCATCCAATGGCTTCCTGAATGTATGCCCTATTCATCTATCTCCACTTCCTCCTACAGATTTGTTGAGCGATTGGCTCTCGCCTGTTGGTTTGTTCTCACTGTTTCTTGTTACTTATTCTTTCTGGCCATTTGATCTTCAGTATGGAACGGAGGCAGCTACAGATGGAAGTCTTCAGTAGGCTGTTGGAAATCCTTTTCGTGACACGCAGTGCATTAGTGTTGATAATCCGAATCTTGTTGTTTGTGCTGAGTATAGAAGATTTGCAAACTGGTTTCATGTTGATGAAGGCGTATCTTGCCTTTCCGAATCAGGCTGACTTTGACATCTTCATCCGTTCCTCCGGTATCTGAGACGATGCTTCCCAGATAAGTGAAGGAGGCAAACTCTGTTAAATCTCTCCCGTTGATGGTGATTGGTGCTGGTTGTTGTTGTTGCTGGTGGTGGTGGTGGTGCGTGGGTATCTTCATCACCTCCGTCTTCTCTGTGCTCACCTGAAGTCCTGTCTTCGCCAACTGACTGCTTCTTCATCCAGTTTGTTGCTTTTATTTTTTTAATTTTTTGATTATATCTTGAAACCACACAGTATTTTTGGTACAAGTATAGAATTTTCAGCATACGATATCGGTAGCCCAAATTTTGCAGGTCAACCGTAGATATCAGGTGTGCGTCGGCAGGGGATCGAACCCCGGACCATGTGCATGGTCAGCGAGAGTCCTAACCACTGTGCTACCGATACATGCAAGTCTTCGAGTTTGTGTGGTATTAGACATATATCAGAATCTCGGTCCAGTATCAGTCAGTCGACAAGAAATACAGAACCATTTTTAAAAAATAACATTGACATGGATGCAAGGTAAATTAGTGCAGGCGAAGAATTTGAGCACTGTGGTAGAATATGAATCTTTCATTGGGTATTAATTAGTAGCTAATATCATCCATCTACCCCTTTGTTTGGTGCACATTGATTCCTATCAGTCAAGTTTGCAATGTAGCCACCGTGCTAGGTGACCCACCATCACGATGTACTCTGAACTGATATTTCACTGTTGCAGTAAGTCGGCAACAGGCTTTGGATATATGGATCACATGCTTGTTGGCACTCATCAGCAAGGTATATGTATATATGTATTACATAATTTCATTTGATACAACACATAGTGATAGAGTACAAATGACTGGTTATTGATCAAATGGAAGCGCTGTAAACATCGGAGAACCGTTTAACTGGTTTGGAGGCAAGTTCATCAGCGGTGTATCATCTATAACTTAGCTCAGAAAGGTGAATCGATTAATACCAACCTAAATACGGGTAAACCGTTGGTAAGCTTTGCACTGAACAAATGAAATGAGAGTGTAGTGTTTGCATCATTTCGATACAGCTAGTAAGCACTACTTATTAACATGAGTGCTTTCCATCTACTTAATTCAATCAGTAGTATGTGCCACTAACTAACATACTTTTATCAAAGTTTTGAATTTTGAATATGAAAGTAGCATGTTCAGGTGGCAGTAGTACATTTTCAATCTTCACTGTTCACTTTTAAAACCAAAAGACTTCTTCTTCCAAAGCATATTTAATTGTGAATCAATATCGGTTAGAGAAACATTGAGGTCCAGAGAACACTAGACAGCAGTTTCGTCCTGTTTTGAGGTGACTTCCATGAAATGAACATCCATGACCTCATATGGGGTTCGAATCCGGAACCTTCAGTTTACTAGACGAGTATTATAACAACTATTTGAGAGTTAACGTTTTGTTGATTATTGGTTGATTCAGGGATGGAATTCATGGAGTAATACATACAAGTTGTGATGAGTAGCGTCAACCAAAAACGGAATGTCAGGACAGATTATATGGTTATAGAGCTATATGAGGAAGTGAGAGAGGTTAGGATCCATCACCAAATTCATTCATTATTACTTCGGGTTCCGAGTGGAAATTATCGCTTCCACATCAGATCTCCATTTCATCATGTTCTCTGGAGTCTTATTTAACTGGTTCCATGATTGCTGATTAACTATTATCTTCATGTCATTCTCAGATGCCTGACTCATCTTTTGCCACTCAACTTCCACCGGCACATGATTCCACTCAACGGTCTCCTCAGTATACATCCAATCCATCTCCATAGGGAAGACCATCTTGACTGGTTTATTCTCTGATTCCCTTTTTGCTTATCCTTTAGCTTTTTATCTGAACTTCAGAAACTGAAGTCCGTCGGTGGCCTCGTTTAACTAGCCGACAGTGAGCTCGGCAAAGAGGGGAGTCTGATAGTCAGACGAGTAGCTCCACCGTATAAAATACTAAATCGCTGCTGCTAAAACTGCGAAGCTTAAAGCTTGAAGCCATATGTTCCACTGGGAATGCAAAGCAATGTAAGAAAAATTAAAGTAGTTAGTTCCCTTTATGAATTTCGACAACACAAGACGTAGTTTATCTGAAACGTGTAATGTGTATTTGCTCAACTTGTCATGCACAGTTTTTATAGAAGGCAAGAAAGCATGAATAATTACAATAGAGGTCAGATTGTGTACAGGTCAGGGTCACAAATACTGGGTAGGGAGGTGACGCAAAGGTGTGGGTAAGAAAGAGAAAAAGGGAAAAAACAAAGCAAAGAAGGAGTTGAAAGTATTATGAAGTAAATTGGTCTTTGGTTCTAAATCGGATTAACAAGGCAGGTTCAAAGTAATAACAAATAACTTTTGGACACATAAGACAGGTTTAAGTCTTTTTATGGCCAACGCTTGAACGAATTTAAATATGTGACCCGACCTTGTTTTATATATGGGCTTAAAGGCATTGTTGAAGTCAACCTTATGACCCGTCTCTATAATGTGCTTCGCTATGGATGATGGTGGACATCTACTTCCGGGTTCAATTGTGTCTGGCGATTTCATTTGTTGTTGCAGCCACTTTGGAATGTGTTCTGTAGCCCTAACCTGCGGAGACCGATGGGTTCTCACTTTGTACGTGTCTCCACATCGGTCTCTGCAGGTTAGGGCTACAGAACACATTCCAAAGTGGCTGCAACAACAAATAAAATCACCAGACACAATTGATCCCGGAAACAGATGTCCAACATCATCTGTAGAGAAGCACATTATAGAAACGGGTCATAAGGTTGATTTCAACAATGCCTTCAAGCCCATATATAAAACAAGGTTGTGTCACATACTGAAATTCGCTGAAGCGTTGGCAATGAAAAGACTTTAACCTGTCTTATGTGTTGTCGAAATGTTTGTTCAAAGAATTTGAAAACGTTGATCAAATTCAACTTAGGACAACAATGTTTATTGATTTCACGGGATACTTTGAAAATTAAGTTTCATATTTGAATTAAAGTATGAATAGTCACAGGAAGAATTCACGTGTTTTGTTTTAAATCTTTTTCACTGGGAAAAGATAGTGTTCTCTTAAAAAATGAAAATTGCTCAACTCAGTATGATAAATTTGATTTTCATTAATTGTTTAAAATTGAGCATAATGTGATCATTTTCCGTCTTTGTCAATACACGAACAATATTATGAAACAGTGTATATTACTCACCAAGTGGTGTAATGGAGAAATGCAATGTTTAGTCATTTTATGCGCCATTAGCTTGAATTTCCTTTTTTTCATTCCTTTACGTCCTCAGTGGAACATAGGGATTCAAGCTAAAGCTTTGAAGTTTCGGTGGTAGTGGTGCTTATTTTTACGTGATGGGGCTGCTAACCGCCTCATGCACAACCTTCCTTCTTTACCAGTCTTATTACTGGCTTAGTGAGGTAAAGGAGTGCGTCGATGGTCGGCGATCGAATCCCATACCACATGAGGTGTGGTTGGCGAGCATTCTACTGCTGTACCATCGACACACAAGCGTGTCAAAAGCGAACGACTAATGGATATTCAACAATGATGTGAAGTTAATCACTGTTTCTATACGGTTAACAGGCCTGGTGTGCCACGAAAAACATTTTCCCAATAGCCAATTGTGGACTGTAACCAACAGATATATTTGCCCGATAGTGATGATCAGATAGCTGGCCAGAAAGAATAAGCAAAAGAAAACTTTGCGAACGAACCAACCAACATCTAATCGTCCAAAAAAAAATATGCAGAAAAAAATAGCTTAGGCGTACTCTGAGAAGATAGTTGGGTGACATCACACGCCAAGCCAGTGAGTAGAACCTCAGTTGAAAACTGCGAGTTAGGCTTTGGTCCGATGGTAACACGGAGATGACCATGTAAGGAGAGGGAAATGAAAGCCTATGGGCAGTCTTGGAACAAGCTTTTAAAAGACTGTAGATAAGAAAGTGGGACGAAGATGTACTGCTGAAGGCTTGTGTTCTACTTCGAATCAAAGAAAATAATAATGGTTTACTTGTTGATTGATAAATGAATTCATACGTTCCATGTCATTACAGGAAGGATTTTTGTATGTGTATTGTATATTGACAAAAAGACACTTGTTTAACGTGTATT